CTTAAAAGAGCAATGGTAAAGCAACTGGACCTTGTTCCGAGGTTCGAAGGTTCTGAGTCCCTTCAGCCAGAGATCAGTGTCTTATATAATATATATATCTTAAATATATATATTAAAATATGTAATTTAAATATAAACCTTTATATAAATAATTATAAATAAATAAACAACTGCCGAGTCAACTAGTTGAGTAATATTTCATTAAAAATTAATTCGAACCTTTCTAAATAGAAGGCCAATTGCTTAAATTGTTTATTTTTTCATTTATTTGGAAAGTAGGTGTGTTGGATGGCGCTTAAAAGAGCTCCTGGTAAAGAGCATGAACTTGATGAAGCGCTCAGTAAAGAGCCTAAACTTGATGAAGCTGTCAGCAAAGAGTCTGAACTTGATGAAACCCTTAACAGGTTGAAACTCTATGAAGATCAGTATCTTAGATTTAACATGGATAAGTAATAATCCCTTGCAACAAGTTATTAAACCTCTAAAACATGCATGTAACCCTTTTGAACAAGCAAATAAACCTCTTCAGTTAGTAAACAAACCTTTAAAATAAATAAATAAACCTTTTGCACGAGTAAACATACGTTTATCAGTAAATAAATTTTGCAGTTACAAATAAATCCTTTGCAGACGTAAAGAAAACATTTCTAATTGACTTGATGAATACGGCCAAACTGCATTCATATTGGCTGTTAAAAATTGTTAGCATTGCAAGATAACAGCATAATCAGGGCGAACCCATCCACCTAGTCGAGGAATTCTCAGAAAGCGTAATTTTGAGTTCTCAACCAGCTGGATGATATTTAATTGGACCTGAATTACGTACTGAGTGACACACTTTGTAGGGACACGGTTATGTAAGAGACTGCGTTTCGCTCTGCGCAGATCGAGTCGTTTTCTCGTTATAGGTTGTTCGGAGGCATCGCCTTCATGTCGTGTCTACATAAATTAAAACAATCACATTTGTATCGCAATTTATTTTGAATCTATAAAATAAATATTAAGCATTAACTGCAAGCATTTCAAATACAACTGATGAAAAATGCTGTTTAAAATCCATTATCAGAAAGTATCTATTTTTTTATTGTATTGTATCAACGTGAGATAAATTTAAAAAAGGCAACAATCTATCTATTACTACAAAGTATAACTAGTCAGAATATCATATACGCAATTTTTTATTACACAAAATAATTATTAATTTCCACACGTTTTAATTTTTCTTTTGTGATGTTTCGCAAACGTTGCATATCCGTCATCATTTACACAATGAGAAAATATATTAATATCAGTATTAGATATTTAAATTACTAGTGGTGCATAGATACTATCAGTGGTTCTTTTTAAATTTATTACTGAGTTGTTAACTGGAAACAGTTACTCAGTCCCTCAACCCTGAAGGTCTTGAAACCATAGGAGATGAAGCAATTAGTCCCCAGCCTTCAAGAAAACAATAATGGGCTAAAAGACTTCAAGATATCCACAAGCAAATGTAGAATTCAATGTCATAACTTCCAACTAACCCATGCTTCAACAGACTGTCATCCTATTAAAAGAAGATAACAAACTGTAACTTGGCAAGAAGAATAACTACAGCCAAAGCAATGAAAGGGAAGCAGGGAACTTCAATCAACTAATTGTTGCCGACCAAAGAGAAGGACGACACGTCTCCATGTTTAAATATTTTCTAGCATTTATTGATTCAATTATTATTATTATTATTATTATTATTTATTATTATTATTTATTATTATTATTATTATTATTATTATTATTATTATTATTATTATCATTATTATTATTATTATTATTATTATTATTATTATTATTATTATTATTATTATTATTATTATTATTATTATTATTGTTGTTATTATGCTTTTTACTTTTATTACTGATTAATTAACCATATTTTTTAAGCAAACATTTTCAAATTGAATAGACTGCAGTTATGTTGGAAAACACACAGAGTGAAGCCTCGATTCGTAGGTTTCCTCCAAGAAGAACATCATCCACTCATCTAATGTATGAAATAGAGGGCTGGTAAGCAAGTCTGTTCTTTTGTTTCCTCAAACTTACTGGAGTTAAGACCTCCATCCTACTCGAAACTTGGAGTTTTTATGGTAATTCATCTCAGAGATACGAAAGTTTTGAAATACAAAGGCACTTGAGGTCATCAATAATATTTAGAATCTCACGATTTCAAAATCTTTGACACTCAAGTCTGCACGCATTCATGCTCAGTTTCTCAGTCATTTTTCCGGTTACTTTTGGAAGCACAGGCTTCTGTGTATTAATGATTATAGTTAATTCTGAGGCACATCCGAATTATCAAACAGGTTCTTCTTCATATAAGCATCAAAGGCGCTTTCACTACTGTCAGTCAGCTTTCACGTCAGAATATCTCTGGCTTCTGAAATAGTTTTATCTTTTGAGCCTTCAGATATCACCTTTATTAAACCTACGCTTAATCAGTTCTCATGCCTTGTCTTTCTGACATTTAGAAATTTCCAAAAACTCCATGAATCCTTAGTTATATATTATTCCTCTTCCCGATTGGTAGGACATAGAATCTCTAACTTCAGAGTTGAAGTTCCCTTTAACATTTTCACGCTAATAGGGTCCCTGTGTCTCT